TTATCTGAGTAATTATTTCTGATTTCATTTTTCCCAGATCTTCTTTTGTTGCCAGTTCAGAGAGTCCAGGTGGTTGAGTATCAGATTGTTCCATCTTGTTTCCCTTTGGGGTTGCTGTAGGTGATCTAGAAGTCTATTTTTGAAGCTTGTTTATGTGTTTTCTCATTTCCACGGTGGGTGGGGGGTGTGTTTCTGGCGCCCACGTGGCTTACCTTCTCTGCCCTAGGAGCTTGGGATGGCAACAGGGGAGCTTCCTTCCGGGTTCTGGGACTGGCTCAGCTTCTCTGCCCTAGGAGCTTGGGATGGTGGCAGGGCAGCTTCCTTCCAGGTGCTGGGACCAGCTCACCTTCTCTGCCCTAGGAGCCTGGGATGGAGGCGGGGAGCTTCCTTCGGGGTGCTGGGACCGGCCGAGCTTCTCTGCCCTAGGAGCGGTTTGTAGAGGTTTCAGTCCATAGTCAGCTGGCTCCAAGGCAGGGTGGTGTAGCAGAGGGGCCTGACAGGGGAGAAAGAGTTCACAGTGGCACAGTAGGTAGGAAACCAATTCTTGTTATGTTTGCTGGAACATTCCTTGCCTTTTAAAAATAAGTTCGGGGGACCAGGGATTTAGCTCAGTGGTTCTGCCACCTCCCTCGCAAGCACAAGGTCCCGAGTTCAATCCCTGATACCAAATAAATAAAAAATAAAAATAAGTTTGGCATGAGGGGCATAGTATTAGAAATCCTGACAAGGAGCTGACTGTGGTCCCACTCATCCTTAAGACTCTCCTCTCTCTGGCTCCATCCCCTTTTTCAGAGTTTGTCTCCTACAGGAGCCTGAAACTTCTTTTCCAGGACGCATGGGGTTTTAAGTTAATTTTTATTGGTGTATGCTGAGATTATAAATATACAAATAATGAGTTCTCTTAAAGTGAAATGCTGTGTGATACCAGCACCCCAATTAAGAGTTGTGCTTTAGAGACACTTTGTGTAGCGGAGATAATAAATGTAGTATGTACTCTTTTGTGTGTGGCTTCATTCATTCACCATTACTTTTGCAGCATTCTGACTCTCAGAATCAATTCTTAGAGATCTCTTTAGGGAACCTCAAAAAATGTCCTAACAAATTGGCATAAGAGCATCAAGCCCCCCAGAGGGACACAGCTAGTAACATTGCTGCTTGGGGAGTATGCAGTGGGATACAGTGGAGAGCTGGATGTTGGCTAGATGATAGGCGCGCATAGTTACTGAGCACTTTCCTCCTGCTCTTTACCTAAAGCTCAGTCTTTAGGAGTCTCTGCCAACTCCATTCTAGCAAGGCCAGAAGAACTCGGTAAAGTCAGCAGGCCCCACTCTGATCCTTTCTTCTCTCATCTTATACTTGACTATCTCTGCAAGGACTCTGTTACCAAATACGATCACATTTGCCAGTTCCAGGATTAGAACACCAATATACCTCTGTGGGGGGCATGGTTAAGTACACAGTACCTTCCTTCTGTACCACCTTCATAGTAACACTTTCTCTGTTTTATTGGTCGGCTTCCATTCAGTTTAATTGAACCCAAACAGCCATCATTAAATAACTGCTTGCTCTTTCCACGTAGGTGAAGCAAGGAATTGTTTACAGAATTGTTCAAATCTGACATACCTAAATATCATGCTTCATGGAATCGTTACAGAGAAGAAAAATGAATTGAAGAGCTTCATCTTGGCCTTAGACCAGGGGTGGTAAACATACGGCATGTGTGCTGCAGCAGGCTGTTTGTATCATGGAAAGCTCTAAAAGGTTCGCCATCACTGCCTTTTAGTTCTCAATTTTCCTATTCCCTTTCCTACTCCACAAAATGTTTTTGTTGTTGTTTTACTTAACCAGCTATTTGATTTCACTCCTAAGTTATCCGCTCCTTTTTTACCAGAAATTATTTAACCATTTCTCTGGGCGTGTGTGTGTAAAAGAAAATGCCATAATTAAAAGTGAGGAGGGCAGGGGTCGGGGATTTAGCCCAATGGTTCCAGCACCTGCCTTGCAAGCTCAAGGTCCTGAGTTTGATCCCCAGTACCAAAAAAAAAAAAAAAAAAGAGGAGGGTAAGAGAAAAATAAAAATGGTAGAAACAGTGAAAATAGAGGTGAGAAGCAACAACAGGTAAACTCCATCATGCTGAGTGAATTACAAGTTTGATTTCCTCACAGCCAGCATGGAAAAAAAGACCTTATGAGTCATGTGATCCAAGAGATTTTTAAATCAGCCTCGAATGCCAGCTTCTGAGATCACAGTGAAGCACATTTCAGTGAAAGTTCTGCCGGAGTGTGGGGGAGTAGAGGGAAATGTGACAAATTCATGAGACCCACATTTCCCCTTCTGCTAATTTAATCTGGCCTAGTGTGAATGTAAAATTGACTCAAAGATGAGATAGTTTGCATTTGTTTTGAACAGTTTTGTATGAGCACTGCACCTTTCTTAACCTATTTGTCACTCTTCCCTTTTTACTTCTCACATGAATGTCCATGAAGAGGCAAATGATACTTCTTAGCTAGATGGATCAACCTTCATTCACTTACTCAGGCGACCACCTCAGTATTTGGCAGTGTCATGGCAATTTTTTTTAACAGTCATTTATTTTGCAGTAAAAATGGGTGTTTGTGTGTGCATTAATGTGTATGGGGGTGTGTGTGCATATATGTGTACATGTTTATGTACAGTTTTCACAAGGAACTGCTGGAGCCAGAGCTGGCTCCTTGTCTTTAGCTCAGCTATCGCCCCTGTTCTGCTGTAGACCTTCTGATACCTGGCTTTTTAAACATGAGGCCCTTGTGATGGCCCTGGGATGCCACAGAAGACAATTGTCTGCAGCTTGGAGCACATCAGTGGAAGAGTCTGGAACCTGGACAGCTTGGGCACAGACTTGAGACTGGCTCATTGACTTCACCTCCACTCTGTGCTGAAACTCACTCCTGATGTCTGCCTGAAGCCCTGGTTCTCCTCCATCTTGGACAACACACATTTCAGACACCACAGGGACTTCTAGGCAGCCACAGCTGGCCCCTGCGATGGTTCTGCTCTCACAGGTTGTGCTGGTGAGGCTGGATATGAGTTGCTGGGAAGGCTGCCTACTGCCCTCTCCAGCTGGAGAGGACTTTAATATTCCCTGGGCATCACCAGGTGAGGTCCCTGTCAGGGCCTTCTCGGTCTCTTTACTCACAGATGATACGGAGAGTCTGCCCAGAGTGGGGACAGACCGACTGACTGTCACCTCCTCTCTCAGACATGCCTGAGGTGCTTTTTCCAGCAATGTGGCATCTTCAGTGGTGGGATCATCACAAGACACACCTGTGGCCAAGGAAGGACAGGGAAACTGTGGAACAGATGACTGCAGATCCTTTTTCACCTTGAAGAAGTTTATGGCCCTAAGAATCTTGAAGAGGAGGGCCCACTTGTGTCTCACCCAGAGCCTTGTTACATGTGTCTCCAGAGTCTTCTGAGTGCTTGGGTCGAGGGGGCAAAGCTTCTGGAAGGTGCCCACACAGGTTTTCTGACTCATGGAAGATGCTAGATTTCTGGCGTCCATGTAGGTGAAAAATGTCCACTGACAGAAAGTCAGGACCTGCGCAATCTCAAAGGGATCAACCCCTCCTGGATCTGCCTTGACTTCACACTCAAATGTGCTCTCAGCATGCCTTCTAGGGCATTCTTGTCATTTCCTGCATCACTGTCTGTCGGAATCACCATGTTTCTTTCTGACTGTATAGAAGTCACCCCTGGAAAGACTACAGAAGAGTTTCCCAAGGCCCTGGAGAGGTCTATGGGGACCTTGCCTAGAACATGGCCCACATTCCTGCCCGAGTCCTTCTCTAGCTGGAACTTCATCTCCTTCCTATCCTTGCTGATGCCACCAGTAGACAGGGAGGAGCACCCGGAGGGGCCAGGTTTGTCCTTTGCCTGACATGTATGAACTAAGTCACTCTGAGGCCATTTGAGTTCTAGAGATTCTTGGATCCTGCAGGGCAGGTCCCGCTGATGTTGAATGAGCACATTTTGAATGTGTTGCTCTAGTTGTTTCCAGTGCCTGGGGCTGATTGAAAAACCCTCAGGAAGGATTGCAGGGACCCACTGGCCTTGACGGTTGCTGGGAGTGAAAGGTCTAGAGCCTTCCCAAGAGCATTGAACTTCTGAGGTTGAAGCTCATCCACTCTCAGGCTGTGTTCTCAACAAGGGCTTCCCAGGGTGTTGAGTTTCAGTTGGGATGAGTGGTCCTGCATTATTATGGGATGTACAGCATGATGCTCCATAGTCCCTACTCTGGGGTAGAGGATGTGGTAGGAGGGTTGGGGGAGAGGATTGCATATGGGCCAGCATCTGGACCTGACCCAGAGGTGGGGGCTGGAAATGGAGGGTGGACACAATCAAGGATGGGGATTGGAGCTCCAGACAGGACAAGGTCTGGGCCTGGGAAAGCTGTGGGGTCATTTGTTCCTGCAGTTGAACTGGGCAAGCTTTTGTGATTTTGTTGAATAAGCAAGGAGCCTGTAGAGTGTAAGGGTTCTGAGAGGTCCAGGCAGCAGCCACCAAGGATTCACTGTGCAGAGCGGGTAGATCCCAGAAAAGCTGGATCCATTTCTGCTGAAATTGGATACGCAAAATCTGGAGATTTGAGAGTTGCTGAGATCTGCGATGCTGTTCTGGCTTCTCTTTTGTGTCCCACCAGGGTTGTGGGGCTGTGGCAGGATTGGGGGGACATGGTAGGGGAAGGGAAAATGCAAGTGGCTGGGGTGAAAGTCTTTCCAGTGGAAGCAGGGCCTCTGGGGTCTGAGAGGTGGTAAGGAATGTGGGTGAACACACAAAATCAGGAGATTTCAGACAGGCCTGGTGATGGAGAGGAAGCCAGAGGTAGAAGGTGTGGAGTGAGAGAAGAAGGGGAAGCCTCTACCAGGGATAGAGCAGCAGTGTCCACAAGGTGTTCTTTTGTAGACATCAACAGGGCGGTGTTGGTATATGGGCTGTTGAGAGCTTCCTTGGTCAGGGAGCAGCCTCTAGAAGCTGGAATAAATAGGAAGCACAGCTGCAGCCAGGGGCTGGGTTGAGTCCATGTGGACCTTGGCCCTTCAACTGCCCCACTCCCCAACTTCACAGTCTCCCTGCTACCCCTCACCTCAGAGTCTTAACATCCTCCACGCCCAGGACCTCTCCCAGGTTAGACCAGTGCTGCTTTGTGACATCACAAGCCCTGATAGGAAGGAAGAAAGGGGAAAGTTCTTTACCTTTTCAGAAGGGGAATTAGGCTCTTATCCAACTTGCAGTAAATCTGGCAATCTGCAAAAGGTGGGCAGTGGGAAACTGGGTTATAAGGGATGAAGGGTAAGGGGGGGGGGTTGGGGATTTTACAGGAGGCTGAAGGGAATGTCCCCTTAGAGGACACCATAGGCGATCTGACTCCAGAGCCCAAGCATCGGTGTCCAATGTCCTCTGGCCCTGGCTGGCAGTGGTTGCATGGTACACAGATGGGCAGTGCTTTGTCAGTACAAAGTGTTTCCACATCCATCAACATCCATGGTCCTCACAACTGTCCTGTGTTGGACCAATAGGGTCGTCTCACAAAGGAATCAACCTCAGCCAATTGTAGCAGTTAGGCCTCAAGTGGACCCGTCTCCAAGTCCAGGCTGTGTTGTTGCACTGTTGCTTACACTGCCCCCAACTGGGCAACACCTTGCCTTGGCTCAGCACAGGTCCATTCTGAGCAGGGAGCCTGAGAAGCACACCCACTCCCCAGCTGATTGCCTTCCCAGGAGCCCCTCTCTCAAGGCTCTGTGGCTGACATCCTTATATCTTTGGAACCCTGGTGATGATGGTTCCTTGGGGATAAGCAAGGTCATTTTAGCTCTGGAACTCAAAGACTGAACCTTGCCTCTGAGAGCGCCTGTCCTTCTCCTTCTCCTGCTCTTCCACCTAGTCTGCACTGGCTGCTGAGAAAGAAGAAAATAGTGAGAGACCCAGGCCTCTCCTCTCTCTCAGGCTCCAGACCATCAGTATTTATGAGTATTGTGACAGTTAACATTGAGTTAATGGAGCCCATGTTTTTTCTTTTCTCTTACTCATTTTTAAAATGCATATAAAAATATTTTTTGTTGTCCTCCTCCTAGCCACACACAGAGGAGTTTATATGTGAGATCTGCCATGGATGTCAGGAAACGTGGACCCCTGCCATGAGAAGGGGAAGATGAACCAGTGCTCAGGGCCTGGCCCTCCCCAAAGGTTCCCACCTCTCAGGAATCCAGTCCTCACCCATGGAGTCACTGGGTTCTCCTCTACTCTGGCCAGCAAAACACACATATGGTCTTAGAAAATCAGATAGACATCGTATTGCTTCTTTTTGTCCCAGCGGAAGGATGTTCTATTCTTTCCTGAGATTTTTCCTCTTAGCAGTCACTCTTTTTTACTTGGAAAAGTAGAAATTGTGGTAAAAGTAGAGAGAATTATTGTTGTCTGGGTCTTGGCTGAGAGTTTCTTACCTTTCTGATATTTCTAGTTTTCTTTGTTGGTGGTAAGGATGGTTTACCCTGGAGCCAGGGCAGTAACAAAAAGAAGAGCCCCAGTCCACACACAAAGGCGAGGATCATATCCATTGCAAAGGTAGTGGGGCTGGGGCTCAGCCATGTGGCGCTAAGGCTTTTTAGAGGAATGCGAAGATTCTTCATCATCTGAATCGAAGTATTGCTCTCAGGCAACTGAGCCTTGAGAGTTCTCTCTAGGGGTAGGGAGGAGGGCCCAGGCGTGAATCACAGAGCTGTGTCCTCCTCATCAAAAAGGGTTCCTGGGGTGGGGGAGGGACAAGGAGAAGAGGCTCAGCCACAGCCCCGCCCCTCCCCCAGGCTCCAGGACAGTAGGTGCTGCACCCTCCTGGGCCTTCTGGACCCCTCCTGCCTCCACCTGTCCAACCTGTCAGAGACAGACCTTTCTTTACCCCATTTTCCATTCATTCCTCCTAGAACTCAGATTACTTATTTCTTAACTGGAAGTCTGGTAATTTTTAAGCCCTTAAAAAGTTGGATGTTCATCCTCTCATTTCAGCTCTTCTCAGGGATTTTTACTCTCAGGATCTTTTGTATTCTCAACTCTGGCTTTCCATTGTCTCATCAATGCAGAGACAGAACTTAAATTTCTCACATACTTATTTTTGTGAATTTTGAATACTATACTAAGTATTAACCTTTTGTCCCCTTTTCAAAGGGCCCTCAATACATAAAATAATCATTCAGAATACACAATTATAAATACGAAATTATTATCAGAGCCTGAACTCCCAGGGATGTTTTTATGTGTTTAACATCTATAATTCTGTACTTAATAAAGCGTAAACTCTTCAATAAATAATAAACATGAGGCCCAGCTGCTTATTATTTGAAGATTAAAATGAGTGAGTCTCTATATAATTTTGAACTGAGAGAAAACCTTGAGTTTACAAACATTGAGTTTATTAACATATAGAAAGTAAGGATTAGAAGGGCCAGAGCCTTCAGAGTTGTAATGCAGCAACTTGCTTTGCCTTCCCAGCTCAGTTCCCCCACTTGATGAGTAGGTGCGAATAGTACTGTCTCAGAGGGCTGCTGTGCATGCTGAGTGACAAGTAAACTGCCCTGAGCTGAGCCTGCACCATGTTTCTCTTAACTGATGCTCATGAAGACCTTTGTGCTTTTATGCAGCAGCCAGGGTGTGGTTGGGTCTTTATTCTAGCAGTTTGCCATAATGATTTGATTCTGTCATTTAAAGACATTTAAAGATCTTATTCCTTTTTGAGGAGGGTCTCTATATATGTATCTGTGTCTAATATATATTAATTAGATATGTATTGTTTAAACTTAAAGAAGAAAGGCAGCAGCAGAATTGCAGAACTGTCCCTCTGAGACCATTTGCTAACGTGCTTACAGAATATACTCTGGCTGCTTTCATGCAAAGGTTATGTACAGGGCTGGGGATTTAGCTCAGTGGTTCTGCCAACCTGCCTCGCAAGTGCAAGGTCCCAAGTTCGATCCCCAGTACCAAAAAAAAAAAAGGTTATATAGGTCTTTTTTCTGGTTAAAACATGTAATTTATCACATCTCAAGAGAATAAAAGTTATTTTCAGCCAAGGACTTTGGGAAACAGTCACTGTCATGTCCTTAAAGCATGATTTGATACTGATTATTTTCTGGTGCTGTCACCTCTCATAGCTTTCCTAAGCTCATGACATCACAGTCAAATGGGCCTCCCCATAGGAATTAAGTAGTGTTGAGATTTTTGACTTTCACAAACATAAAATCTTTGGAATTATGTTCATACCAGGAGCTCTGATAAGCATTGGAAAGAGGGCAGGTGAGAGAGAAGGCCCCTTGACTCTGGAACCGGGGGCTTCCTACCCAGGGGCAACTCTTCCCCTTCAGGTCCCACAGACTTTAAGCTGCCTCAGAGCAGCTGTCACACAGCTTCTTCTGTAGATGGCAGGATCAGAAGAGAGGATTTCTGTGCAAGAGTAGACTTTCAGTGGGTCTGCCTCATACAGTGCAGTGCTTGTCTGTGTTATACAGGCAGACCTGCTTCTGAATATTCACTACTTGAGTTTCTGCAAATAGAAAGTTAAAGGGAAATAGTGGTAGGCAGAACACAGACATGCACACTAATGAGCCAGCCACTTAATAAATGAATCCCCATTCCAGCATATCATGTCCTTCCTAGCATCTCTCCCACCCATCGTGCCCTATTTGTGTCGTTTGGCCTCTTGTTGGCCCTTGATATTGTGCAGTACAGAATGCAAGTTGAACAAAAGATGAAGGATGTCACAAAAGGCGGTGGGAATGAGATGGAAGCTGTGCTTGACCAGGAGGCTGGACGAATAAGATTAGTTAACAGTTGAAGAAGAAAATTCTATAATAATAAGAGGAAACTTCTTCTTTTGAATATCAAAAGATTGACTCAAGTATCATATGTGGAGAAGCCCTTGAGAAAACTGATGATACCCTTGATTATTTTCTGTAAAAGTTACTCTCTAAATCTGCTACATGAAGATCCACATGAAGTGATGAATGTCAGATAGTGCTGTGATAGAGTTTTGATTTTTTTTATTTTTTTATTTTTTTATTTTTTAAATATATATATTTATTGGTACATTTTAGGTATAAAATACATTTACATTTATCATTGGGTGTTTGTACCAGAACATGATGCATCTTAGTTTTTATTTCTATGATAGAGTTTTGATAGAACCATTGTTAATAAAATAAAATATTTGTTTCATTCTTTATCTTGAGAATTAGTGTGTAGTTACAGGTTAATCTGAATATTGTTAGTGTTAAATGGTTCATCAGTTTAGTTTTGTAGTTTGTTTCAAGGTGAAGTCTTAACCTTTCATCACTGCTTATAATTACATTTTGATTCACCATTTAAGTTGTTTTTCTGCTCCATAAATGAGCATCTCCACTGTTCATTTGTTTCCTCTGAAAGGTTTGTTACTGTATGGGAAGGGTCTCCTCAAAATTCTTGTCCTTCCCAGAACCTGAGAATGTGACCTTACTGGGAGGTAGGTTCATTACAGATAGTCAGTTAAGATGAGACCATGCTGGGGTAGGGCAGTCCCTTAAACCAACATGACTGGTGTCCTTGTGCAAAAGACCCAGACACACAGAGGGAAGATGGTTTGTGGGGTCACAGATGTAGGGTTGTCACAGACACAGGATTGTCACCTATGATGATGGGGCAGAGATGGGAGCAAAGTGTCCACAAGCCAAGGAACATGGAGGACTTCTGGCAACCCCAGAAGCTCGTAGAAAAGCGTGGAGCAGAGTCTCCCTTCAGATGGAATCAGCCCTGCAGTGCTTGGCTCTGCTCCTAGAGCCTCTAGAACTATGAAAGAAACCATTGCTTTTGTGGGTTTTTTTGTGGTTTTTTTGGTGGGGGGGTACTGGGTATCGAACTCATGTTCTTTCACTTGCGAGTCAGGCACGGTGCCACTGAGCTAAATCCCCAGCCCCAAACCATTTCTGTTGTTTTAAGCCACCAGTTTGTGGTGGTAGATTATGGGAACTCTAGGAAACTAATGTATGGTGTTCTCAGAGAACTACTGATCCATGGACTGGATACTATTTTTTGCACAAAGTGGCTTAAAGTTCAGTTGGAAATTGGATGAGAAGTTATTTCATGACCTGAACTAAATATGGCTTAAATAACTCAGTCTTTTCTGTATTAAATTACTAGTGTCTT